GCAAATACTTGAACAGTGCGACTAAGACGTGGCAAACTGAGAGGTCTATTGAACGCGCCTTTTTTCTGGGTTGAATGACGTCATTTAAAGAAAAACGGCGTAACACATTTGTGTTACTAAAAACCATAAATTTTGTTAGACAAGCCCCATCAGCACCAGTGCTTGGCGGTGAGTCAAAATATCTAACGACATACTATTTAGATTGATGGGAAATTTTTTGTCTGATATAATTCTGGGGGCAACGGCTGTATTGTTATTCTAAATCAAAACCCATCAACGTCCAAGAAAATGGGGGGGGGCATAACTGGGGTGTTAGGGAGGGATAAAAGGACCCCACTCTTCGTGTGGTGCCGTCCGCCATGCATTCACAAAGCACAAGTAAAATACAACACAGGCTCTATAATGATAGACATGAATATAAAGAGGATTTTCTGCTTTCAAGCATGAAAGTGGCTTGCCTTAATAGCTCGCAGTCGATTCTAGCAGGGAACCATTATCATAGATTATTTTAACATTTCAACGTTCAAATGGAAATATGAACATTACCAGGGTATCGAAGTAGGAACAAGGTCAGGGTAACATTTTGAAATGCAAACTCACCTGCCGTGGGTGACAATTCCTGACGTGGACATATGCAGCAAGGTATGAGACGGAGAGAACCCCCCCTGCTTTGTGTTGGTCATTGTCTCGCAGGAATCTGGGGAATTCCTTTCAGACATCTTGGGGGGGGGATGTGTTCACTAACAATAGTCTGGAATGTGTATAGGGATTGGACATGTTGGGGGGTACCCCTCGGTCTCATTTCTTGCTGGGTATAGACGTGGAGACGGATACAACTAGGTGTGACTGCAACCATATAAACAACAGTTTGTACATTCGATCATTACTCTCCGATAACAATATAATGCACCACGAAGACTGGAGAGGAATTCTGAATATCTACATGCTCTATCGGCTTCTAACAGGAAACATTTACGCTGTTCACACATCAGTCCCAATTAAACCCAGTTACGTGCTGGAGTGTGAGCGACACATTTTTGGACCGCCCAAGAAGTCGATTTTTGGCCGTGTATCAAGGCAATGGCATCAATAAAATGAATGCCACAGTTCAGACAGCAAAAGCACTCGTTGTTTCGCGCGCCGGGATTGGAGTCTCGAAATGTCTACCGAACACGTAAAGCCAGAGCTCATTTTGCAGGCGCATTGCTTCAACCGGGGAATTCCTGGCGGAGGCAATACCTGCGCATACAATGGAGTCACGCATGTTCCTTTGTGCTCAAATAGAATGAGAGATTATTCTGCATGTTTAGTGTTGCCTCATTCCTCGTTCTACACATGCCCTTCTTCAGCCTAGAGTTACTCCACTAGATGGATTTCACTATGCAAAAGTGTGATAAAAATCGTGCAAATGTTATCGAATTTTTGTCATTTCATTCAACATGGTTAAAAGTGCATGGCCAGCTGTTTTGTCATTCAGTTTCCGCAATAAGTCATCAAACGCTTCGACTAAAGCTCGATACCGGGCTGTCAAAACGGGAGGTCAAGAAAAGGCTCTTGCGTAATTAATCGCCAGAAGTGCTCATGGTACACTTCAAGCGAATACTACATATTACGGCCCAATACATGACATCATGAACAGTACTATATTGACACAGTGGCATTTTTCTCCACAGTACATGGAATATTACTTCCTTGACGAAGCGCTCTTTAATTTCTGCTGAGCTGCGGTTTCTGTAATCAGAATTTACACACGATGGATATAATACGGTTTACTTCGACTGTGTACATATTCTTACTAAAAAGAAAAAAACTTTTCAATGACTGGGCAAGGTTGAAGTTTAACTGTTCACAACGGTACAGTGCAACGGTTTCATACATGTATTCACAACCTAAGGTTTACTGCAGAAACTGGCGTCCTATTAAAGGAAATGTTTGCAGTTTACTCGAAGTTTTGGACAGTCGTTCTATTCACCAGCTTCGAAAACTAGCTGGAACTTTAGTAGCTTGATATAAAACTACAACAACTAAATACTACAACAGCATTATTACATGTTGATTATTTAAATCTCTACTAGTGAAATGTGTAAATTCATTTATATTTTAATCCATACGTTGTTTGAACATAATACCTGTCTACTTGCGACTGGCCGTTTTCAAGAGGTGCCACATTCGAGTCCATACATGTACATGTCTTGTCAAGTCCATTACAAGTCTTCCGGGCTCTATTTAAGTCAGGGGCTACTTAAATTGTTTGTAAAATGATACTCCTTTCAGGCACTGATGAGAAACTTACTTCTGACCTGAATTCTGGAATTGAGTTGTGAATTTACTTTTTATGGCCTGATATAGGATTCCTTCCTAGATTCGTTCCACTGTAAAATGCTATGTAAACACAATAGCCACAGCTGCTATTAGCTTTGAATACAAAAACTTCACTTACAGATTCATTCAGTGTAAGATGTTGCATTAAACATGAGTGCAAATTTAAATTCATCAAAACCTTTTAAAGCTCCCGAACACACTTCTTCGACGAAAGAAAATGATGTGAATGTTGATATGATAACAAAATTGCCATGAAGACCTCTAAAATGTACATTAAACAAAGTATTATTTACACATGCAGTCTCATTACGAACAGCACCAATTATATGTAGTATTTTTGGCATTTGAAATCAAATCAGGATGACGATACGTAAATGAATGCCCTTTGAATTACATGTTCCTTAAACATCTGTGTCATACATCATGAACATTTCTAAATTTCAGAGCTACATAAAGTCCTTACATTTGGAAAGTCCTGGAAAATATGGTGCCATGTTGCAAAAATAAAAAATGCGTTTCCACAACTCTTGAAGAACTCATTTATCAGAATATAAAATTGACATGAAAGTTTAATATTGAATGAACAAAATTCTTATATTTCAATTATAAAATCAGCTCTCTATTTTGGAAATGTCTTAAGCCTACTTCAGTCTTGCTGGCAATTAAACATTTAAACGTTTTTGAGCAAGTGTCACTGGTAAAAAAAACAGTACAGTAGTAGTACGTGTAGTTACAGTATTACAGTAAACCTGTTCGCGTACTTGGTACATTCCACATTGCAATAATGAGCATTAGCCAGTCACTTGTGCTCACATTTGCGTAGTATGTCTTCGCTATGTACCTCAATAAATGTGATATTGAAATCCACCAATGGTAAAATAAATGACGAGAGTGGTAGCAACAGTATAAACACTGCACCATTTTAATGAAACAATACGCAATACACGCACAGTTTAACCACATGTAACAGACCAATCTAGTAAGCTATGCCAGTGTGTTTTTCTCCAATGCATTTTCCAGCTGCGCACGTAAGAACGCTTGAGTGCCTAGGAACTTTTACTTATTTATTCATTTCAAACAAAGTTTAGCGTTGTGAAAAAGACATAAACGTCCAAAAAACCGTAAAAACCAATAAGTAAACAAATACGCAAGAATATATGGGATGAAAATGTATAGGATAAAAGAGTGTGAACAATAGCATCAATTGGACAAAAAAATCAGGAATAATTAAGATTTGACATGCAATACACAAAAGAAGTAAGCAATTAAAATACAGGATTTAAGTACAACCAAGTAAAATCACGGTCCTTCTTATAACAGGACAAAATACATCAAAAAGAATAAAGATAAAATATAAGTACAAAGATACATCGACCACAAAATGATCATGGTATAAAATAATGTAAAGCGTAACTGACAACTGGAATTAAAATTACGGAGTATAAAATAGACAAGTAAAAATACAAAGAACACAACAAGAAAAATAAAAACGACACAGAGCATATAAGTGCATGGAATTTAAAATGAATGGTTCTTGAGAGCATGCTTGAAGATATTTAGGGAAGATCTCTGCACAACATGGTCTGGAAGTCTATTCCAATCGTTGGCTGTAAGCGGATAAAAAGAATGTTTCAATTATATCCGTTCTGGCAAAGGGAACCTGTAGTTTTCAGTTGTTGTCACTGTAGCGGGCTGAAATTTCATCAAAGAGTTGATGTTAAGACAGGTGTTTATTTTATAACACATGAGGAGATGAAAGTATGTTCTCTTTTTTTTCCAAGGATGTCCACCTAAGACATGATAGAAGTATTGAGTAACTGGTTTGCCAGTCTCTACAAATAAACTGCACGAATCTATTTTGAATGCCCTCAACTAAATTTGTGTGGGTGGACCTGTATGGATCCCAGACGGAGCAACAGTAATCCGTCACTGAACGCACAAGAGTAAAGCTTACTTAACACTTCCTCGGATTCGGAACAATTTTTGAATGTACGCTTAACAAAAACAATTGTTCTGATGCATTTGGCGTATGTTTCTTGGCAGTGCTCGGCCCAACTTAGCTTACAAGTTATAGTTATATCTAAGTATTTCTCTGACGTTGTTTTCTGCTAGTTAACGTCGTTTATATAATAGCCACGATCATATCGGTGAGTTCTTCTGGAAATGTTCATAACCTTACATTTATTTACTTTAAACCCTATTATCCACCTTTGCGACCAATTATACCATACATTCAGGTCATGTTGTAATCTACCACGATCTTCAGGGCATTTTACTGTACGATACAATACACATTCGTCCGCAAATAGGCGAATAGTTGATTTAATATTATGAGATACGTCATTAATAAAACATAAAAAAGCGTCGGCCCAAGTATAGTGCCCTGTGGTACACAGGACTGGACTTTGGTCCATCTATCACTCTCTGAGATCTGTTAGTTAAGAAATTCATAATCCAATTCATATTTTTCTAACCGATATTAAACATATTATGCTTCTCGCAGAGGAGACTATGGTGAACTCGATCAAAGGCCTTAGCAAAGTCGAGGAAAATAA